AGACCCCCGCCACTTTCAACAGTTCGTTATGCACAGAATCCGCGAAATCCTGGAAACCACTCGAGCGGATCAATGGCGATGGATCCCGTCGAAACTCAACGTTGCGGACGGGGCTACAAAAGTTATCAACAACCCTCAGACGGACACTTGGCTTTACGGACCCGAGTTCTTAAAAAACGAACCTAATTCTTGGCCAACGATTCCCTCCAAGCCAACGGAGGTCGATACAACTGAATTACGTAAACACATCTTCACAACTCGTAAAGCGGGCAAAGTCCAACTCGACATCGAATATTTTTCTGATTGGCGCCGCCTTTACAGAGCCGTTGCAGTCATGTTTCTGTATATCCATCCACTGCGAGCTAAATGCAACAGGATCGACATGCCAGGGTGGGCAATCTAGAGCCTCCAAAACACCAGGAGAGCTTATTAGCTTTAAAGGAGAATATGCCGAGATGAGAATATCCTTTAATTCCCAATGACTTTTATTATGGGTGTGTGTACCTCTATCCCCGGTTTAGCTTGTTGATGCACGCAATTATTGGCATTAAAATTATGTATAGGCATCCCGAGGTCTGGGCAAGAACATCACTCCCGTAGCCGACGAGCCGAAGCCGGAAAATTTCCCTGCGTGCGCCCAGATCTCGAGGCAACATCCAGCCTGAAATATTTTTACAAGTGTAGCAATTGTTACAGCGTCTACATCTAAGCCACCAATTCATCCAATTTGTCGTCCAAATCTTTGTTTACCTTTTTCATGTAGTGATGTGAGTTTGTCAGCGATAGGTGTTAGTCGAGACGTCCGATATTTTGTCGGTATTCGATTGTGCGGACTGCGGGCATCGGGTCGAACCCGCCCTGGGCCACTCTGAGCTAGCCCGGCATTGCCCTGGCAGAAAGCAGTTCCGTAACAACGCGCCGCCGTGGGTTTCAACGGGGCTGCTGAGGACGCCACCGCGACGACGGGCAGAGGGACTACCGGAGGAGCCAACCGCGCCCAGGTCGCTGGAGTTCGAAACGATCGGGGCAGCAGCTGACCAGCTGTTGGAGGCTGATTCCGCTCCGAAGGCGGTCCACTTCCAGGACCCGCCCGTGGATTCCACAGTCCAGTCGGCTGTAAACCTCGCCCTGGCACAGGCAGCGGAGACGTACCGCAAATCCCAGGAGGCAGGTGTCAGCCAAAGTTTGCGAGATGAGATGAGAGCCGGATTCCTGGAAATGATGAAGCTGATGAACGAGGTGCTGAGACCAGCGAACACGCAGCAACCAAATCCAGCAGAGGAGCCGATGCCGCCGCAGCAATTTCCCCCGGCGGGACAATCGCAGCTGGAAATTGCAGGTGGACGGCATCAGCAGCCTCTTCCAGGACGACAGCAGCAGCCACATCCATTTCAGCGAACCATGGAGCCACTCCCGGATGTTCGCGGGGCGGTACCCCGACGTCTATCATTGGCCGGCGGGCAAGCGGCAAGGACACCGCCACGTGTTCCACCGAAGTCGCCCAGGAGGGCACCTGATCCCTTCGAGGTGGTCAGCAGCAGCCCAGGGAGGTCCACTGAGGCCGAAGAGAGGCCGCGGGATGACGGCGGAGGCTGGAACTGGTGCGTGGACGATCGCAGAGCTGTAGAGTTCCGAGACGAGCCGGGCGTACGTCAACTCGGACGCGGGAGGCACTTCCCACTACGCCAGAGTGGACCGGTGGAACGTTATGTTCAACGGCGAGGACGAGCGCAACCACGTCGAGGGCTTCTTATTCCGGCTGGAGTACCTTCAAAGACAAACTCGGTGTCCGTGGTCAGAAGTTCTGCGTAACTTCCATACGTTGTTGTCGGGACGGGCTTTGGAGTGGTACTGGATCCACGTGCACGCAGCACCGACTGGAGAACTTGAACCAGGTACGTCGGGCACTGAAAGACTGCTTCCAAAGCCACGAGACGGAGTACCAGAGGATGCACCTGCTTTTGCAACGGGAGCAGCAGCCAGGAGAGGGCGTAGACGATTACCTGCACGCCATGCAGACCCTTGCGTCTCGCCTGAAAAAGCCAATGCCAGAGCGGCACTTGGTAAAGGTGATGAAGAAGGGTTTGCGAGAGGGAATCGCGCGTTTTATCTACGCGATGGAGCTGCTTACCGTGGATGAGTTGCGGCAGGAGAGCATCGAGGTCGAGCGCAGCTTTGGACGCAGGAGCCGCACCGCGTTCCTTCCAGCGACGCGATACCCGGCAGAGGAGCGGAACAGGGTCAGCGAGGTGGCGGTACCGGAGCCAGACGAGGAGCAGTACCCCCTGAAAGTGGAGGAAGTCGGAAGCTCTGAAGATGGCGCTAACGGCTAACGGTTCTGTTCCAGAAGGATGTGGACAACCAGGAGCAGCCGATAGCCTTTTTCTCGGCAAAGATGAATAGGCACCAGGTGAATTACACCGTCACCGAGAAAGAGTGCCTGGCAGCGCTCCTGGCGATCCTGTAACGATCGGTTGAGGTGTGACGGAAGAAGAAAATATATTGTTGATATTAGGGGCTTCTCTCTCTCTCTCACTCTCTTCGGGTCCGGAAGAATAACGGGCGGAATCCTCTTGTGCCTTAGCTCTTGGGCGTTTGGGGTGGGTTTTTGCCATTTCCGTTCGTCATTCACATAACCTTTAATTTTAAGGATTTCTACTGAAACAATAAATAGGAGCTCAACTCCATAAACTAAACAAAATCAACCAACAACTAAAAGCAAACACATTGAAAAAAACTATAATCGGACTGCTAGCTATAAACGATTAGAAAGGTCTTAGGTGATATTTAACTCTCGCTGTCTGTACCCTACCCAACCATGATCTTCAAAGGGAACCAATTATTGAAGATCCCAAAACATTCCTCCGACGAGTTTTAAGTTGCCATGTCAATCCAGAAAATAATAAAAATTAGCACATCATGATTTCAATTCTCAATATTTCAATCTAAAATCTTTAACAATATTTTCCATTTTCTAAACACAACAAAACTCAACTCTAAATAAATGAACAATTCCATTAGTTCTGAAATAATTATATAATTACAGTGTTTTCCCTACATCTACTAAATTTAAACCTAATTGAAAAATTTTTTAATATATAGTATATTTTAATTCATGTTGTTTGGTTGTATAGAATAGCTATATAGCGAATAATGTTAAAATTAAAGGAATTATTAATTTACTAAAACATTTTTCTTCTGCTTATAAGTTGTTGTTAAATTATTTATTATTAGGTAACTGTAATGATTTTAATTTGTTCTAGCTTTACATTTTGATTGGGAATTTAATTAATTTTTTTCTATTGATTTATTTATTTATTTAATTTTTTTTTTTCTTTTATAGATTTTTTTTTCAGTGTAGACTCATTATTGTTTCTAAAAGGACAGCTGGGTATGTGAGAAATGTGCGAGATAAAGGCAGACATTTTTTTAATGACTTAATTTAAAAAAAATAATAATAAATTTAATTAAAAAAATTATCTATGATATTTTTAAATTAGTTTGATTTTATAACTTTAATTTTTTTGTTTCTTATTTATTTCGAATAATGTTTTTTCTTTTTATATATATAGACTACATTAAAAAATTTTTTTTCAGTGTAGACCAATTATTAATACAAATATAATGGAATAAATTCATTGTTGTTTTTCAGTGTATCAAAATAACTATTTAATCATTTATTGTTATTGTAAATTAGCAGTCACTAACGGCGCGCATAAATGATTTAATTCACGCAGTAATTTTGAGAAGATAATTTCAACTTAAAGCTAGCGATATATATATACATTTTTTTTAAGGCATTACTCACAAGATTACTTCGTCCGAAGGATTGCGGAGTGAACGGCTGTACAAGGAAGCATCATCCACTACCTCACTCGGAAAATGTTCACAACGCAGCCAACAGCACGATGAATCAACAACACGTAAGCACGCACCAAAGCGACGTAGAAGGTAGCCAGTTTTTCCGAATCATGCCCGTAACTCTGCATTCCGCCGACAAAAACGAAGGATCCTCTGTTACCTTAATAGAAGCAATAATTTTTGACAAGCTGGGTATAAAAGGCTCACCGTCACCGATATGCTTGCAATGGACTGGGGAAACCAAACGATTCGAAGATACTTCCGTGCGCGCATCAATTCAGATTTCCGCGAAAAATTCAGAAAAACGATTCTGGCTCAACAATGTTCAGACCGTAAAAAACATCGCGCTGCCAAAACAAACTGTTGATATAGACGAATTGCGCAGTAAGTATAGCTACCTGAAGAACCTGCCACTAAAGTCTTATTCTGCGCAGCCAACCTTGTTAATCGGAACAAACAATTGGAAAATTGCCGTTCCTCGCAGGATATGCGAAGGCAAGTGGAACGATAAAATAGCTTCAAAATGCATGTTAGGATGGACCATCCAGGGATCATCAAACTCCAAATGCCACGTTTCCATGCACCACTGCGACTGCAATTGGCAAGAGCTTCACGATCAAGTCAAGGAGCAATTCGACCTTGAAGTAATTTCTCCTAAAAAGCTCCTGTCTAGCGAGGACAAACGAGCAGTCGAAATACTGGAACAGACGTGCTAAAACAAATCTGGAAAATATGAAGTCGGGCTCATATGGCGGAACGATCTTGAAAAGCTCCCCGAGAGTCGAGCTACTGCTCTAAAGCGTCTGCAATGCATGAGAAAAACGATTCTGGGCGAGCCAGATCTGTACACACAAGTCGACGACCAAATCAAAAATCTTCTTTTAAAAGGATACGCCAGGCAACTAACTGACGAGGAGGCTGGAAAAGGGGAAGATCTCACTTGGTACTTACCCATATTTATAGCCTTAAACCCGAATAAGCTAGGAAAAATTTGGCTGGTTTGGGACGCGGTGGCAAAGACGAATGGACTATGCCTCAACGACATTCTGCTGAGCGGACCGGACTGTTTGAACCCTCTTATCGATGTCTTACTAGCCTTTAGAGTCGGAAAAGTCGCTGTAAGCGGCGATATTGCCGAAATGTTCCACAGAATCAACATTCGCCAAGAGGACATGCATGCTCAGCGCCTTCTCTGGTACGATGCTAGCCAGAATAAAATAAACACTTACGTAATGCGAGCCATGACCTTCGGAATTAGCTGCGCACCATTTATAGCTCACTACGTGCGCAACAAAAACGCCGAACTCCACCAACATCAATTCCCATTAGCCGTGGACGCGATTCAGCGTGCGCACTACGTCGACGACTTTATCGACAGTATGAGCGACGAGGAAAAAGCCATCGAAATAACCAACCAAGTCAAAGAGGTTCACGCCAGAGGCGGATTTGAAATTTGCAACTGGGCATCAAATTCCAGAGAAGTCCTCTCTCATCTTAAGAACGACGGAGACACCGAAAATCAGAAGCCAGTGCAGTTTAGGCTACTACGTTAGCCTATCCGTCGGTTTCTAGTAAACTACCTTGGTTCACCAAAGATCTGACACGCCTAAAAAACGTTAAGTCTAGGCTTTATAATCGCTATAAACGCACCGGATCTCTTATTGTTCATTCAAGATATCTTAGTGCTCGGTCGGATTTCACCGTGCTTAACGCACAGTGTTATAAAAGTTATTTAACTCGTTGTAGGGTTCAGTTCACGCAGGACCCGAAACAGTTTTATAACTTTGTTAACACTAAGCGAAAACCCAATTTACATCCTTCATCGCTTTTGTTCAAGAACGCTACAGCGGCCATCGCCGATCTCTTTGCCGAGTTTTTCAAAACTACGTATTCTTCCTCAAATAGC